GCTCATGCCTGTAATCCCAGCTACTCAGGATTCTGAGGCAGGAGAATTGCCTGAACCCAGGAGGCGGAGGTTGCGGTGAGCCGAGATCGCGCCATTGCACTCCAGCCCGGGTAACAAGAGTGAAACTACGTCTCAAAAAAAAAAAAAAAAAAAAAAGACAATAAAGATCTTTTGCCTCCTCCCCACTATTTTTTTTCTGTAATTCACCTCAAAACAAAAAAGAGAACAAGGAATAGAAACCTAAACTCCATCTCTGATGATGGTAAGAGACACCTGGCAGCCAGAGGCAGAAGTGGTCTCAGCCAAGAGGAAGAAAATGCACGAGAAAGTTCAACCAACGTGCCTGCAGAGAGGGGCACTGACGACAGGCAGAGCGGCCCATCCCGACTCACCCTGGGGAGGCTCACACTGCAGACAGCACACACCCACCACACATCACGAGGGAGAGAGGCCAGCACCGAGGGCAGGGCAGTACCTGGAGCCCACCTGGCCGTGCCCAGGCGAATGTCAGAAGAAACAATGGAGAAGCTCCCTGCAGGGAATGCCGGGCCCAAGTGGAGGTGGGGAAAGTGCGGTATGGAAGACCAGGAGTGAGGAGAAGGGCTGAAGACAAGGACCACACCGTGCATGGACCTTGAGGGTTATGCTGAGTGACATAAACCAGACACTTGGGCAAAACTGCATGACTCCCATTATAGGACGTCTCTAGAGGAGAAACTGAGAACACTGGTTGCCTATGCGGGGGGAATTGCGTGGCTGGGAATAGAGTGGGGCACCTTTCACCTTATACCTCTTTGGAGCTCCTGAACTTAAAACCATGTGGCTGGCTGGGTGTGGTGGCTCACATCTGTAATTCCAGCAGTTTGGGAGGTTGAGGAGGGAGGATCAGTTGACCCAGGAGTTAGAAATCAGCCTGAACAACATAGTGAGACCTTGTCTCTAGAAAAAATTTATAAATTAGCTGGGTGTGGGGGCATGCGCCTGTAGTCCTAGCTACTCAGGAGGCTGAGGCAGGAGGACCACTTGAGCCCAAGACTTAAAGGCTGCAGTGAGCTGTGATCACGCCACTACATTCCAGCCTGGGTGACAGAGCAAAACCCTGTCAAATAAATAAATCAATGAAAACGAAAACTATGTGGCCACAATCTTATCTAATAATAAGTGGAAAAACTTAATTAAGAGATACAAGTTATGAGTAGAATATTTAGAACTATATGTAGCCAATGTTAGAGTAAGGAAATCAAAATTCCTGAAAGTAGATTCCTTTGAGGAGCACCTGGTGGGGCCAGGACAGTTTTTCATTACAGGCCTTTTTATATGACTTTTTAAATGTGCATATATTACTTAGATAATAATAAAATATTTAATAAAAATATTGTACTTTTTTTTTTTCTTGTTTTTTTAGAGATGGGGTTTCACCATGTTAGCCAGGATGGTCTTGATTTCCTGACCTGGTGATCCGCCCACCTCGGCCTCCCAAAGTGCTGGGATTACAGGCATGAGCCACCATGCCCAGCCAAAAATATCATTGTAAACAAATTAGAAATTCATCAAGAAGCAATTAATATAACCTATTATCTCTTGACCGAAGGCTAACATTTAGTTAGCCTGTCTTTCTCCTCTAAAAATGTGATTGCTTTATATGTGACTTGCTTTCTTTCTTTTTTCTTTTTTTGTTTTCTCTCCTTTCTTTTATTTTCTTTTTATTTTACAAAGCTAGGTATATGGCTTCTTTTTTTGTTTTGTTTT